CCTTTTCTCCCCGGAAGGGGTTGGGGGGCCCCCCCGGTTTTGGTGGTGGGGGGGGAAATTTTTTGGGGGCCTTTCCCCCACGGAGAACATTTTGAAGGGAAAAGCCTTCTTTAATTGGTTTCCCGGGCGGAAGGGAGTAATTAGAAGGGCCCCCCCAGAAAACCCCACAGCCCCAAAAAATTTTTTTCCGGGCCTTTGGGTTAAATTCCCGTTTCCGCGCCCCCGGGGGGATTACGCCCATTCTACCCCGTAATCCCCCTTCAACCCCCCCCCCCCCCCCAGCTTTCATTCGTAGTGCAATGCCTACCTGGCGTCCCGTTTTTTCAACAAATGTATATGAACGAAAAGGCTTGGATCTCTACATGGACGTTAGAAGTTTCCCTACAACAAATGTGCAGCATTAGTACATTACCCTCGCCTTCCCGTGATTATGCCGTAACCCCCCTCCCCCCACCTCTCTCTGTTACATACAGGCGATGGAGAAAGACGTTACCCTTGCGGGGGGACTCGCCACCGACCGCATCCGCGTGTACCGGCCTCTCACTGGGGCGAAGGACTACAGCCGGGCCAAGCTGAGGGAGAGCTACGAGAAGGTCTCGGTGGACAAGGCCAGGGGGTGAGTTTTAAGAGTGGAGTTGGAGGGAGGGGCCAGCAGTGGGGTAGGAGAGAGACTGGGCGTGGGCCGCGAGGGATACAGTCAAGGGTTCGACGGGTGAGAGGGGTGGTAGGTGGTGATGAGGGCCCACGTGGGGTTCATGAGTGAGGGTTCGTTCGTGGTGAAGCGAAATAACGCGGGGTCGTTTTCTAGCGCGCAGGGTTTGATCGATGGCCTGGCAAGAACACCAACAGCAGCACCAGCGACAAAAAAGACGACTACACCAAGAGCTTTTCACAGCACTGGCAAAAAAAACGGGGTCTTTGACAACAACAAGCGTCGTTAATGCGAACTCGCTTTTCACGTTTTTTTTATGCGTTGTACGGTGGGTTGATCGATCGATGGACTTGGGGACGGGTTTGATGTTGTTGTTTGATGTTTGATGCTGCAGGTACTGGCGCGAGGAGTACAGCGGGGAGCGAAACGAGATTCGTTTTAAGCACTTCGTCATCCTCGCGGGAAGCGTGCTGCCCGTCTGGCGAAAGGTACGCACGCTGACAACAACCTTTGGGAGGCGAGGCACGCTCCGACCCAGAGAGACGAGGAGAGTCGTCTTGAGACTGAAGCGAAGCTACAGACTGCGTACCCCTCATCCTCGCCCATCCTTGCCCCCTGTCTCCTACATAATCGGGCGAATCCCCTGCCGATTCCCGTGATTCGCGCGGCGTGTCTGACCGTGCACACACACACACACACACACACCCATCAGCAAACAAAGCAATCATGACGACTTTTGGCTAAACTGCTGTGCCGTGTCTGTCTGTGTGTGTCTGCAGGTCGAAGGTGTGCTTAACGCAAACACGCACACCCAGCACGAGAGGCGGCTGCGCATCGTCCGCGCCACCGAGAAGGAGGACGAGTGGAACATGCACGACGACGACGGGACCGGCGAGAACGGGAAAGAAGGCGGCAGCGGCAGCGGCAGCGGTGATGGCGACAAGGAGGTATGGTGGGACACCGCATTTGGGTTTTTCTCGTGTTTGTTTGTTTTGTGTGTGGTGGTGTCCTTTGAAAAAAACACCGCATTTGTTACTCTTCGTGTGGTCGATTTCGTTTCATGGCCTGCTTGGTTGCACGGCGGTTTCGCATGACCTCTTGCTTGCACCAGTTTTGCGAACACAGCATTTATGTTTTTGCTCTTTCGTTTGGTTTGCTTAGTTGCCGGTGGTTCTGGAGGCCCCGTGGTTGCACCGTTTTTGCAAACACCCCTCTGGTGTGTTATCTACCAGCTGTTCCTTTTTTTTATTTTGCCTGATGTGCGATGGTAGGGTTAGGCGCGGCGGGCACCTAGAAGGCCTACACTGCCGAATAGAGTGTGGTGTGATGCGAAGCTGTTTCCGCCTCCTTCAAGGGTATTTTGTTGGTGCCCCGATCAATGTTGGATTTTGGTGCTGCAGGGAGAACGGCGGCGAAAACGATGGGTGACTCAATAGTCGGTTACCGATGTGTTTGATCCGGCCACGCGGTGACCTCGTCCACCCCCCCCCATCTCTCACTCTCCGTGGGGATGATTCCGGTCTAACGGAGTAGGATATAGCCCCCCTTCCGCTGGACCGATTGTCGGGCGTCTGTCTCGCTTCTCCAATACGACCTCAAAACCATACATTGACAACATTTGTCCTCTTCAGTATGTGTCTGCCTCTTTCCTTAACGCGGTTGTCTCGCTTCTCCGATGCGAGCTGCACACCACACATTGCCAACGTTTGTTTTCTTCAGTATCTCTCCGCCTCGTTCTTTCTAGATTTCGTCAAAATAGGGAGGCGACGCTGTTTCGTCCCGTAAGGTGTGGGTACATTAAGGGGGGGAGGGGGGGGGGACATGTGCTGTGGCAGCGATCGTCAAGCGGCGGCAGGTGAAGGAACAAAGGCCGCACGTACAGAGCTCTTAAATCCCCTTGTTGTCTTTTGCATGCATGTTTTTTTTTTTGTGCTCTCTGCTTTGTTACTCACCGGGTCCGCCTCCGCTGTCCCTGCCTCCCCCCATCCCCTCAACCCCAACCCACCGTCAACAAAAAAACGCGGCCTAACTGGGCTTGCGGCCAAAGGGCGCCGGGGAGAAAGCAGGCAGCGACGGCGGAAGGGCTTCCGGGGACAAGGCGGCCGGAGACAGCAGCAGCAAGGAGGACGAGAAGCCGTGCTGTGAGGTCTGCGGAGGGAGCCAGGACGTGGGGGACTCTTCGGGCGAGGAGGAAGAAGCGGCGGCAGCGGTGGTGCCCGCCGGGAAGGGGAAAGGTAGGGGCCGCGCTCGGCCGGTCCGCGGCCGGGGTTCCGCCGCCGCCGCCGCCGCCGCTGCTGCTGCTGAGGAGGAGGAGGAGGAGGAGGAGGAAGGCAGA